AATAAATAAAAAACGTTGAAAAAAAAATTTTAAAAAAAAAAGAGAAGAGAAGAGAAAAGAAAGGAAAATAAAAGAAGAGAAAAGAAAAGAGCAAAGCAAAGCAAGGCAATCAGACCTTGGACCTACTCTGACCCTTACTCACTTACAAGTTGGGAAAACAAATCCTCCCAAACATCTGATATACAACCTTCCAGCCGCTGCAGGCACTTCCACAGAAGACCTAGGGCATGGTGCCCAGTATCATCCATCATACCCAGAGACAGAACCAGGAAGGGTCTGTGAACACTGAGCATTCACTAGGCCAGCCGGTGCTGCACTACAGAATGTTCACCCTCTGGGAGCCCCACCTAGTGAGAAGGAGGCCATCACAACCCGGTGGGGGGGGGGGGGATGTGCTGAGAGGAGAGGTAGCGTCGGAAAAAACTCAGGGGTTTTGGACCTCCAGGAGAGGTTGAGGAATCTACCACCCAAATGCCTCTGGGCTCAGGGGGCCACCTCCGTCCCTCGATGCTCTCATATGTCCAGTGACTTCAGTTGAACTCTACCAGAAGCAGACCTGGGGATGAAGATTTGAGGACAAGGAGTTTATTTTTAGGAAGCACTAGTCCCCTACTGCTGAAAAGCAGGCCAGGCCAGGGAAGGAATCAGTGGGAGGCTGGGGCCGCATTGCCCTGGGATCTCGGAGAGACTGGCACCCATCCTCAGAGCTGGGGTAGGAGCTGGGGTGGTTATCCATCCACCTCTGTCTGTCCATGCTTGAGAGCAGCTCCTAGGGGTGCCCAGCCTGTACTGGCTGAACACAAAAATCTCCTCCCAGTCAGAGAAAGCCCGCTGGCAGAAAGAAAGTGGTCTTTTCAGTAGTGACCACAGGACTTCCCACCACATCTGCGTTTCACAGCGGTATGGATCACAATTGTGATTGTAATAGAAATGGCTCCGATAATTATTTGTTTAATGTCTCTCACCTGCACGGAATATAATCTTCCTGAGGGTAGGGGCAGCATTGCCACATTCTCCCCGGGACCTAGTTCAGGGTCTGGCACATAGCAAGGTGTTCAATAGATATTTATTGAATAAATGTAATTTGGAGGCGGATAAATTCATGGCCAAGGCCCAGTTCTGTCTGAATACTTCCTCTAGCCTCTTCTCCTCCTCCCTCCTCTTTTCCCCAACACCCAAGCTTGCAAATTGTTCCCTATATCTATATTGATGTCCATATCATCTACAAATCTATATCTAATTTTGCCTTCTAGAAGGGTAATAAAACCCCCAATATTTAACCTTGCCAGCGGCTGGCTGGAATAAAGGGAACTTTTCCCAGCCTCCTTTACAGTTAGGAGTGCCTACGCGCCTAAGTTCTGACCAATGGGTGCAGAACCGACAACTGCCACTTTCAGGACCTGTCCTTACCCTTAGAGGCGCACCCCTCCTCTTCCCTTTCCCCCTTCCTGCTGGCTGGAATTTGGATGTCATGACGACAGCTGGGGCAGCCTCCTTGGATCCTTTGGTGGAAGGCTTGGGCCATGCGAATGGTAGAAGCTAGTAGAACAGGGGAAGCCCTAATGATCAGGGAGCGACTGCTCCAGTCCAAGGCTGAACCACTGGCCTTGTTTTATACGAAAGCCCTTGGTTACACCATTGTTGTTTGGGGTTTCCTGTCAGGTGCAGCTGAACTGGCTAATAACCTTTTGTTGTTGTTGTTTGTTTATTTATTTTTGACAGGTGGGGGGTGGGGAAGAGAATCCCAAGCAGGCCCTGCGCTGTCATCAAGGAGCCTGGCTGGGGGCTTGAACTCACAAACCAGGAGATGGTGACCTGAGCCGAAACCAAGACTCAGACCGTTAACAGACTGAGCCACCCAGGGGCCCCTGAACATGCTAATAGTCTTATGTGGCGCGAGGAAGGTGACTGTAGACTGACTTCTGGGCGGGGAAGGAAATACAAGACTCCCAGGTAGAGGAGGTGAGGCTGGCTGGAGAGGAGGGTCCGTCTTGCCGCCGAAAGGGAGCCCCTGACTCCTCCTGCTGGCTGTCTCCTCCCACCTCCCCACTCCTCTCCACCCCTTCCAGTTCCCCTCAGGGCTTGGAGAAGTTTTGTTCCCCCCTTGAGGAGCAGTTACTCTCACAGACTCTGTTTCCCTTTGGAGTGATCCAGACATGCCCTATGGCGGCTCCAGGACTGCGTGCTGCAGCCACCCGCCCCCTCCCCCCTTCCCAA